TGAGGCCACCAACGAAGAGGGAAGAAGGAGAAGAAGAAGTAGCAGCTCTGTGTGGGTGATGGCAAAATTCCTTCTCCACCATAACAGCTCAAAGTGTCTTTCTCTGAAGTTGAAGAAGCCTGCTAAACTGTCTCCACTCTCCCCTTTTCTTGCCCCCTTCTCTTCTTGGGCTTGGCCAAACTCTTTGTGTTCTTCAAGTATCTACCAAGTACTCACAGTTAGGTTTTTCTTGCAACTAATGGGTAAAAATTCTACAGGTAACTAAAAGAACTAAAAGAAGGACACCTAACCTCCAACACCAAGGCTGGGCCACTCAGAAATGGCAGATACACCTCTGTGGTAACAGATTTAGGAAGCTAAAATCAAATTGTGACACAGTTTTAATTTTGACTAGAGAAGTACAGGAGTGAGAACATGTGAGGAGAACAACCTGCAGACACCGAGGGTAGTGGAGAAGGAGGAGCAGGTGGTGCTTCGGGCGCCAGAGCCGACACTGCTCTGCAGGCTGGAGCCAAGAGTACTTTGCAGGTTATGATGAAACCGTGGTGAGGCAGCAGTGCCCCTGCAGCCCATTGAGAACCATAGGGAAGCAGAGATCCCCCCTGTCCTCCTGTGGAGGAGCCCCACACCACAGCAGGTGGATAGCTGGAGGAGGCTGTGATCTTGTGGGAGACTCGTTGAGAGAGAGGGGTCCTGCTCCCAGGCTGGAGCAGCCTGTCCTTGTGTAAAGAGTAAAATGTGACCTCCTGATCATTATATAAAGATGTTAACCCAGTTGAATGTTGTCACTGTAAGGTGCCTTCTTTGTTAAATACCTTATGCCCGATGTTGTTGTGACAGCCTTCTTTGTTAAATGCCACATTCCCTTGTACCTGTGCCCTTTTTTTTGTACCTGCATTGCCTCTGCTGGTCCCAGCACACCTCTAATGGGAACCAATGACACCACGCAGTGTGCAAATGAGAGAATTCCCATGGGGGTTCGCACCCAGTGGAAGTGGAATTAACACTGAAGACCTCTAGAAACAGGGAGCCATTGCTCAAACTGGACTCCAAACTATGTTGAAGAGCAAGGAAGAACTTCAAGCCACTTACTGATGTTCCGGGCCTTGTCTCCATAAGTAGAACAACACTTGTTCTGCACGACTACCCTAGATTTTCAACAAGCTGATGTCTTCCCAGGGACTGTCATGAAGATGGAAGCCCAAGCTCTGCTGTGCGGCAAAGCTGAACACCTCCTCCTCTATGTCATCCATCAGGAGCAGCAGTGGTGTGCGTGACCCCTCAGGCCCCCCACCTAGAGCTGTCCTTAATAAAGGCATTAAAAAGGACCAGGTCTCCTTGCCCGTTCTTTTCACTTGGAGGACTGCACCTGTGGAAAAGTGACCCACACTGCAGCAGTTTTGGGAGAAGTATTGCCTGCAGGATGGCCTCACATTGCAGAAGTTTGCAGTGAGCTGCTGTTTGTAAGATGGAGCCAGGTTGGAGAAGTTCCTGGAGAACTGTCTCCCATGGGAGGAACCCCACAATGCAGTAGGGTAACGGTTTCCCTCCCTGAGAGTGGGAGAAGCCTCAGGTTCCAGGTGACCTGAAGTCCCATTCCCTGTCTCCTTGTGCCGCTGGGGCAGGTGGTAGAGCTGGGAAGGAGGGAGGGGTGGGTGGAAGGTGTTTTTAAGGGCTTAATTTGCTTCTCATTATACTGCTTTGATTGTGTTAGTAATTTTGTATCATTAAGTCAAGCCTTAAATTTTGCCATTGATGGTATTTGATGAGTGTTTTCTCCTGGTCCTTAACTCATGAACCTGCATTAAATTTTCTCCCCTCTCTCCACCTGCAGAGAGGAGTGAGTAGCTTTGTGAGTGCCTGGCATCTGGCCAGGGTCAACCCATGACAATCTCAAACTGAATTTGGCTAATGCCATAGGGAAAAGAGAAACTGCTTGTACAACTACATCAGCAAGGCCAGGAGGAACAAGGACAATCTTCATTTTTATTGAAGGTAGGTGGAAACATTGCCACAAGGGATGAGGAAAACCCTGAGGTACTGATGCCTTCTCCGGGTATTCCGAGCTCGTGGCTGCCCACAGCACCCTGCCCTGCAGAGAGGATAAACAAAAATGGATAAATGTGCCACCTCTTGGGGTGCACTGCAGTGAGACGGCACAGGCACCTTGTTCTGGGGTGATGGCATTCCATCACTGCTGCAGCTTCTCTGGGGCACTTCCCGCTCAAGTAACAGCAAACAAATAACAGGGCAAGAAATATCCAAGGAAATGAGAACAGGGCTCAGAGAAATAACACTTGAAGTCTCAGCAGTTTTTACACTGGAACAGGAAGTCACAGACAATCTTCTTGAAAGTATTCTCACCCTCACCAAAGATCTTCACATTGTATCACACTGTGGGAGACACCTGCATTCCCTATCCGTGTTCCTCTTCCTCCTTCAAGACACGCAGGAATATTGAATTACCAACAATTCAGCTTCTCTTAGCTAAGGCAAGCCTGTTAAAGCAGAGGTTTCCCAGAGGACCAAGGCCTCCTTCATGCATCTGCCTGTTCTAAAATGGGTCCTCCAGGGGCTGCAGATGGATCTCAGCATTCCTGTGAATTTCCATGGGCTTCAGGGGCACAGCTGCATCACCATGGCCTTCACACTCAGCTGTAGGGTAATCACAGCTCTGCTGCCTCAAGCAGATCCTGCAGTTTTCTCTCCTCTGACCTCGGTGTCACAGAGCTGTTCCTCTCCCATATTCCCACTCCAATCTCTGGCTGTTGTACCACATCAGTTATTACTGTCCCAATCTTAGATACGATAACCTAACTGTGTTACCACCATTTCAGCTGAGCTTAGCTTTGGCTGGAGGCATATCCGCCCTACAGTGTGCTGACATTACCTCTGGAGGTTCTGGAATCTTTTCGCTGACTTAGACCCATGCCCCCCCAAACACTTGCACTAACAAAACCTGGCCACAAAAACCCCAAACAAACGGGAATGGCTTCACAGTGACAGGGAGCAGGGTTAGACGCTGTGTTCGGGAGGAATTCTTCCCTGGGAGGCCGGGGAATCCCTGGCACAGGTGCCCAGAGCACCAGCTGTGGCTGCCCCATCCCTGCAAGCGTCCCAGGCCAGGTTGGATGGGGCTGGGAGCAGCCTGGCATAGTGGAAGGTGTTCCTGCCCATGGCAGGGGCTGGAACTGGCTCATCCCTAAGGCCCCTTCCAAGCCAATCCATTGCATGATTCTGCAGATTGATGGCTCTGTGACAGAGGCATTTGGAGACAGCATCACCTGAGCTCCGGTTTGCTGTGAGCTCTGATGCCAGCCAGCACCACGGGAGCATTGCCGCAGGGACGTGAGAAGGAGCACTGTGACATCGGCAGCACCACTGTGACGCAGGAACTGCCACAGCTCCACGTCAGGCCTGTGTGCCAGGAGAGTGCAGCCAGTCCTGCCTCGCCATGGACCTGGTGACGCGTCTCGTGCGCTCTCTGCTCCTGCTGGCCCTGCTGCTGGCAGGG